AGAGAGAGAGAGAGAGACCTTTATGTAATCACCATGCTATAGGGTCACTAGGGCTGTAAAAGGATTTTTCTTCAGAGGGCAAATTAATTTCCTCAAAAATAATCTTATCTGTTCACTTTATCTCATACTGAACAATTAATCTTCATTTTATATCCCAAAAGACTGGAATTTGTGTCAACTTTAAATAATCAGACTTTAAATTTTTTTAATTTCCAGTATTTAAAAATTTATCATCGTGAAGTGTAGTTTGTTACTCTGTAAGACAGTAAATGGGGAGAATGATTGATAGTCTGTTCCCTTCGCATGAAATGACAAGTATACAAAAACATCATATTTCACTTATTGGAACATCATAAATTGTGGCTTTTCCTTCTTACTTCCTTTTACTTATTAGTACTCACATCTTAATTTACCACATTTACAGTTGTTTTAAAGTTGCGTCTAATCCCTTCACCATTTATGCCCCAATTTTTCTCCCTTTTTCTAAGTAAGTTAATTTTTTTTTCTACTGCCAAATCTGTAGCTACACTACGAAAGGTTAATACCTCGATTTTTAAAGACATGATGGTAAAAGCGGTCCCCCACAGACACCCAATTCCTACGGGGAACTACTGGGCAAATCAAACCCTACAGGGGGAGGGCTTGCCGTCAAGTCACACAGGGAGGCGGGGGCAAAGGCAGTGCTTTACTGGGTTCAATAAACATTCACCGCGCCACTCGCCCAGCTCCAACGCGGGCAAAAACGAGAGAGCGGGCGGTACTCTGCGCAGACGGCCTCGCAGTTTCGCCCCGGGGCGAGCGCCTGTGGGCGGACACTGGGCGGCAAGAGCCCCTCGCGAGCCGGCGCGGACGGCCAGCCAACCAGGGCCAGGCCTCCCGCGCCCGCTCTCGCTCCCGGCGCCCGCACACGCGCCCGCCTAGCCGCCAGCATGGCAGCCGCCCCGCCTCAGCCGCTTACCCGTGGCGCCGCGCTGCCTTCCGGGGGCAGCCCTTCAACGGTTGCCGCAGTCAGAGCACCACCCCGCGGCAGGGTACGTCAAGCAGAGCCGCAGCTCTCGGATCCCTGCAGCGCCGCCACTCTCGCGAGAAGTCAAGAAGTCCGCGAAGTTGGGGGGTGGAGGAGAAGAAGGGAGGGGCGCCTAACGGTGGCGGCTGGTTCTGCGCCGGATCCGGGAGAGGCCTGGCGCCATTGTGCTTTGCTGCGGACGACTCTGCCTCCGTCAGAGGCCTAGAACTCCGAGCGGGAAGGCGGCGGAGTGGTCGCTGCGAGCGCATCCCGCCCTGTTTAGTGCCAGCTCGGGAGCAGGGGTAATCAGCTGTGCAGTTAGGGCTTCTCGGTCCCGGGGCGTCGGTTGGGGCCCGGCCGCGGGTGGGGGAGGGGAGGGCGCGGAGGGCGG